GGTCCACAGCTCAGATGTCGCGCAATCTCTTTGAGACTGAGACGCTTGCTTTTGCAGCGCAGTTGGGGCCTGCATCGGAGTTTCTTGGAGGCTTTGGAGGGCATCAGCAACCTGGAGGGCGAGAGCAAAGAGCTGAGAGCCTTGCTTTCTCGGAAGGCCTGGGTGAGTCTGCTGGAAAAGCTGCAGCATGTCTGATGTTGCTGCCAGTCGTGCAGGCAGACTCAGACAAGCTTGCCAGTGTGCACAAGACGGTGCAAGCATTGTCAGCGGCATTGCAGGGCAAGGCTACGATGCAGCATTTCATGGGATTCTCGCATGCTAAATCTGCAGAAGATTTTGGTAGGACGACGCAATGAAGAACTTTCAGCAGAAGTTGCAGCATTTGGAGACTCTGCTTGAAGAGAAGGCCAGGGAGCACATACCGGACAGGCAGGCAAGCACACTCAAATGGTCCCGTTGGGAGGCCGCTAAGATAGATGCACTATCCGCCGAGAGCGCAGAGGCAGCGGCCACAACTTTCAGCAAGGCCTGCTGGGTGAGAGATTGCAGCACTTAACACCCCATGCTCAATCTCCGACAGGCCGCCACAAAAGCTCTCAGCAAGGGGGTGGTGGCATTGCAAGAAGAAGCTTCAGAGAAGTCTCCAAAGAAGCATAAGGGCGACGACAAGTGTGGCACTGTCACAGAAGCTCCGGTGCGATGTTCGTATTGAAGTGTACTGGTATATATGATACGCTGCTATGTTCTTGCTACAGCTCCCGAATCAAACACCCAACGCCTTAACGCCTGGTCCAAGCACCTTCCAGACTTCAAGTTACTGAGGAGCACTGTAGTACTAGTGAAGTACTTGTAGGCTGAAGGCGCATTTGGAATCTCGGAGGAACCAAGGTCAGCGAAGAGGTTTTCCTTTCAGACTCTTTCTTGCTTCCATTCGAGCATGGGTTGAGATTTACGCTTGGGGTAACTGAGGGTAGCAGCGCAAGAAGGAGGGATGGAAGTAGCAGTAGCAGCTGCATCCATTTCGTCGTCACAGCTCACTGATCTCACCCCAAATGGTGTTTATGCAAGGCCTTATCTCAGGCTTGGGAATAATGTCGTAACCAGGTTGTAAAACACTTTAGCGACCTCAATGCTTCGCATCGTGGGCTTCAAGAACTAAGGAGAAAAACTGCAAGGCCAACAGCTGCCAGATGATGGCCTCTCCAAAGAAGCGAACCTTGGCGAACTAGTGCATCGGTTGTCGCATTGTGTGCATATGACGAAAGCTCCTTGGAGGGAGCTTGCTTTAGTACCTCAAGGAGTGAGCCTGGGTCTTGGGGGGCTGCGGGGGGGGAGGGGAACGCCAATTCTGTCTGTTTTTTTTGGCTGCCTGCCATGGAGTGTTTGGGGGCATCTTGGGGGGATTTGGGAGGGCTCTTGAACAAATCTTGGGAGGGGGGTCTTGGCAAGATCTTGGAGTTTTTTTAAAGGAGGGTTTCGGCAGGAGGGTTGCAGTTTTTTAAGGGGCAGTGAGGGCTGGGCTGCGTGCTCTACTGGTTGTATATGGTCTGTCTCTTCACAACCTGTCTCGCCACTCCTGTCCATTATTGAGCTTTCGTCCCAGCCCGTGGCTCTCAAGTCTAGCAGGGGATTATCCTTGAACCATGAACTCCGGATGCGTTTCGTGGTAGTGTTTGAGGTGCAGGATACCTGACATGTCTGATACCATATCATGCGAGTACAACATCAGTCAGTCCACTTGTACAGGCATACGGGATCGATTAGGCCTGTTGTCGACACTATGATGTGGCAACACCTTTTGCGCGAGGTAAAGGATCTCCTTTGCCTGCCGTGTGCTCTCCAGATCACGATTCTACCAGCGAAAGCGAGTTGGAGCCGCCCAAGTACAGGTTGCGTCACTCGGCCTTCTTACGCAACCCGCTGCACACTGTATCTGTTGCTTCGCAGCCATGTGCTCGCAGCTCCCAAAATCAGGTCTGGGAGATCTGCAAGGCCCTGAATTTGCAGCAGTTATCCGCAGATGCCTAGCCAGTGACGTCATGAAGAACCTTAAGCCCAGCACCCGTAGTTTGCTCGAATCTCTAGCCACAGCGGAGAGCAACATTGCTCTCAAAGCGTGAGTACAGTCTGCACAGCATTCACCGGAATTCACCAGCCAAAGCCAGATCAAGTATGGCTTACAGCCCTTGGCCCACGGAATGGAGTCTCACACCTCAAACACGCTTGCATGTAAAGCCTCAGACTCTCTCAGCTCAGATGTGAGTTCTCTTTTAAAAAAGGAGTGTCTGTGCATGATCGAAGTCTGAATGCTAGAAAGCCTGGCTGAAAGCTTCAGGACGCAGCATCTGAACTGCGCGACCGCCTGCAGAGTCACCAGCTGCGGCGGCATGCTCTCAGGCCCCAATGATGCAAAGCGGCTGATTAGTATAGAAAGTAGCCTGAGGGATATGAAGGCTTCCTATTTGACCTGCCTTGAACAGGGGGGCACCTTTGCGGATGGAAGTGTGCAGCTGAAGAAGTCACACTTGCCGCAGGACGCAGCTCTCGTCCTTGGGAGCGGACTCCAACAAACTTTTCGCCAATGTCGACTTCTCTCGACAACAAATCGAGGACACCGCATGCTGCTACGCACTTGCGGCTGTCGACGTACGTGGAGGACCTAGAACGCCTTGTCGCTCTGCTGCGGGAGGCGTGGAATTGCCAGCTTCAGCCGCAGAGTTTGAAAAGCCGGTTGCTTACCCAGGCCCGCAGTCTTTACTCGAAGGCCGAGCTAGCCGGCGTAGGTGGGCTGCAGCCAGGTGGAAACCCTAACATGTGGTCCTTGCTTGCCGATTTCAAGCTCCAAACACTATCTGCTGGTTAGAGGTCCTGCTCTTGCCATGGATCACCTCAGCGCAGAGGCCGTCGGCAATCTGAGGACTGGGAAGTAAATACCTGTATCCGTCTCTTGCGTCTGTAGGCCCTGTAGAGCTGTGGTTGACACACCGAGTATTTCGAAGGAGAGCCGGCCGCAAGAAGCTTGAACTACAGAGCAAGCACCAACTGGTGCTTGCAAGCTATTGTCAGGCCATGGGCGTGCTTCGAAGTCAGCTTTGTGCTTCAACATTGGCGCAGGCCGAGCACGATCGGAACGATGCGCGCAAGGCGCCTTTATTGACGCTTCAGTTGTTCTGGTGTTCGTGACAACATCCGTCAATGTGAGAGCAACAGCTGATCCAAACCAGGCACTGGAGGAAGAGCGGAACAAGCTGGCACGACTTCAGGCACCACATGTACCTTGACCTGGCATGTTGGTCGAGTCTGAGTGCCGAGGCAGAGCGCCTGCAATTGTGCAAGGAGCGCCATACCGCTGTCCAGGAGGATCGAATGTGTTTGCGAGCACCAAAGGCAGACTGAAAGAATTGGAGGCTCTGAAGCTTGCCAAAGATGTGGGCGTGAGCCCCGCTGTGCTGAAGGCGGGTTGGTGCATCCGATGAGTGAAAGTGTGACTGTTCATCCTCTCAGGAGCTTTGTGGGCAAGAGAAAGCAGAGGCGGCTCCCTGCATGCTAGAAGGGATGCTCTTTTGCATGGGGTAAACGGAGAATGAGGAGAGCTGTCTTAGCCCTCTTGCTGTGCACATCTTGCGTGCTGGCTGAGCATGAGCCTGCTGAGCCTGCTCTCTTCCACTCTTCCGCAGGTGCAGGAAGCTGCCTCGAGGAGCGGCAAGCTGAAAGTCATTTGAGCTGTAGTCTAAACTC